GATCGATCAATAGGGATATACATGCAGGTGCTGAGTTGGTAGGCGTAGCTTTCGTCCATACATGTCGGGAGTGATGATCGATCACAACCTGTATATATTTATGTCTAGTGTTGGCGGCTTCGTTGCCCATAACTATAGTATCCATAGCTATAAGTTTTAGTGGTGCATCAGGTGTCGGAAGTGGTTGGAGCTGTCCATATGATGGATGATTAGTTGGTTTAGCCAATTGGCATATATGGCATGACTTGACATATTGCTTGATGTCGTGAATCATATCGGGCCAGTGATACTTTACTTTTATTTGTTTTGTAGTGATTCGGATGCCAGGGTGACCACTGTTGTCGTGTGCTACTTGAAGTAATGGGTAGACAAGACTGGGAGGAATCACTGATAAGTTACGTCCATATTTGATGATCGATTGAAGTGTGGACGTGTCCACTGAGCTGAATGTTGATCGATCTGCTTCTGGTGTTTTATCGTTTGGATCGATCGATGTGATCGCTCGAGCAGGTGCTTCATATCGCACTTTGGTTTCGGTGTCCTGTTTCTGATGCTGTAGTATCACTGCTTCTCTGATGAATAGGTTTACCGGAGCGCGGGATAGGGCGTCGACGTGAGCCATTTGTGATCCCGGTTTATGTATTACTTCAAATGTGTAGAGACTTAACTCTTCAGACCAGCGGAAGAGTCGTTTTTTAGTCGACTGGAAGTTGATTAGCCATTTGAGAGCCTTGTGGTCGGTATAGAGGGTGAACTTGACTCCTTCCAGATAGATACGGAAGTATCTGATTGAATTATAGACGGCCAGACATTCCAGTTCGGTGACCGTGTATCGGGTTTCGGCGTCGGCAAGCTTTCTTGAATAGTAACCAATGGGTCGATCGGCTTGTAAAAGGATACCTGCTATTCCAATAATTGACGCGTCTGTGTGTAGATCGATCGGTATGTCCGGATTGTAGATAGCGCGGACGGGTTCCGATGCCATTAGTTGTTTTAATGTATTGAATGATCGATCACATTGATCGGTCCATTCAAACTCTTTGACTTTAGATTTCTTCATGAGTGATGTAAGTGGTGCTGTGATTGCTGCGAAGTCGGGAATGTATTCGCGTAAATAGTTGGCCAGTCCGTGAAAACGTTGAACTCCCTTTTGATCGATCGGTGTCGGAAAGTCCACTATTGCTTTAATCTTCGAGTCTGGAGGTCGGACTGATTTGCCATCAATGGAATGTCCTAAGAATTCTATGCGGTGTTTGGAAAACTCGCATTTCTCGCGTTTGAGTCGGGCATTGTTTTCGGCCAGACGTTTGAGTACTTCGGCCAGTAGATCGTCGTGTCGTTCTTGAGTTGAGGCATAGATGATGATGTCATCTAAATATGAAATGACACCGTTGTTGTGAAGATCGCCGAGGATCTTACGGACAACGCGGTGGAAGGTGGCCGGACTGTTCTTCAGTCCGAACGGTAGGACAGTCCATTCGAAGTGACCGTCGCGGGTGACGAATGCTGTTTTGGTGATGTCATCGGGTGCTACGGCGACTTGCCAGTAACCAGAGGCGAAGTCAAGTTTTGAAAATACGATCGATCCTTGGAGTCGATCGATCACGTCCGCGATGACTGGAAGTGGTGTCTTGTCAGCGATCGTTATTGAATTGAGTCGACGATAATCGATGCACAAACGATATGTGCCGTCTTTTTTGGGCGCCAAAGTAATCGGTGCGGCGTACGGACTGGCGCTTTCCCGGATAAGACCTTTTGATAGGAGGTCCTTCACTTGGCGGGCAGTCTCAGCTGCCATTTGATGAGATTGACGGTATGGGCGCTGTGCGGTCGGTTGTTGATCGGTCAATACAATGCGATGCTCTTCGATGTTGATTCGGCCTAAATCTGTTGAATCGGCGGCAAAAATGTGTTGATAACTGTTTACGATTTGGTCAACTATATTGTCAGTTGTTTTATTTGATCGATCAGTCGGTACAGTTGATCGATCAGTCGGAACAGTTGATCGATCAGTCGGAACAGTTAATCGGTCAATCGCTGGACTTGTTATGTAATGGCAGTGATGTCCAGGTGTGGGCTTTGGTGAAAATGAATGTCTTTTGTTAGACCATTTGTAGGACACTGTTTTTGAATGAGTGTCTATTACGACTCCATATTTGCCCAGAGAGTCGAGGGATAGGAGGAGAGTATACTCGAAGCCTTCCAGTACTTGAGCTCTCATGTTGTATGTCATCCGATTGATAGTTAACTTGAAGTAGACTTCTCCAAGTGTTCGGATCGATCCTCTCGCAAGTGTTATACTGGTTGATCGATCCCGAGATATGCGAAGTCGTAGATGATTGGCTACTTGAAGTGGCATTAGGTTTACAGTAGATCCAGGGTCGGCGAAAGCTGATAATTCAAACCTTCCAATACGTCCAGGTATTAGAATTATACTGTCGATGGTGTCGCCAGAGGCCATAACTCGAGGACGGATGAAGTGATTTGATGCTTGAATACCAGTAGATGTATTGCCATTGTTAGGATTAGATGGATCTCTAGGTTGGGGACCAGTTAGTCTATGAGGACAGTCTTTGTGGAAATGCCAGGCAGTAGTTCCACGGTCGCGGCATATGCGGCACGAATATGGCGGCCTATTCTTTGAGCGATCAGATCGATCTGATCGATCATTTGGATTCCTCGGAGGTTTCTTGTCTTTGTCTTGAGAGAAGTGAGATCTGGGTTTATAGTGATGTTTTGTTTTGTCAGCTTCGATGTCCTGTGCCATCTCTAGCCAAGCGGTAGTAGTTGTGAATCTGCGGCCATAGAAATATTCTCGATATTCAGATTGTAGTCCTTCGGTGAGGAGGTTAGCTCTGTCGCTGTCGGAGTAGCCTTTGACGCGACGAAGAAGTTTCAGCTTCTCGTCGTAGTATGTCTTCATTGGTTCGGACCGTTGTTGTCGTCGTCTGTTAGCGGCTATGACTGGAGGTACGTCTGTATGTGCGTAACGGTCAAGTAGGAGTTGTCTTGCTTTAGGCCAACTGATGTCTTGATCGATCAAAACATCTGAGCCATAGTAGTTGGCGGCGTCATCGGACAGGAACTCCATAATGTCGTCCACTTTGTCTTCATCGGAGTGGAGTCGGAAGGATCGTTCAAACATCTGTATGAACGCCTCTATCGTCAGATTTGAATCTTGTGTTCCGCTAAACTTCGGGATCTTCCGTTGTTTAGTATGCGTGGGAACTCTTCGATCGATCCGATCGGTCAGATCGATCTGATCGGTCGTGTTTGAGGTGCTCTGTTGTGCCGGTTGGAGGCCTGTGTTGACAGTGGTATTGTTTTCGTTGTCAGACATGTTGTCGATGATGTCTTGATTGTCTTCAGTGACGGGAGTAGAGTTGAGGAGATAGCGTGTTCCACGTCGTGTAAGGCCTATAGTTAGGGATGTCATCAATCGCAGGTAAGGATCTAATAAGTGTGATCTGTGCCGACTGCGCCAATTTTGTTGTGGGCGGTTTGGTTTAACCTATGGATCAGTTGTCTAGCGTGGGTCGGTATGAGACCAACAACTGATAGTATCACTCAATTCCCACAACGGTATCAATTGATCGGTCAAAGACTTCCCAATTGATTTAGTGATCACTTGAAAGGCACTATTCGTGTCAAACAAAATGATGTACAGATCTGCAGTAGTGGTGACCGGAGTGTAGGCCAGGGATCGATCCGTTAGTACTATTGATAACTTCGATAACTTGTATGGATGGCCAGCGAAATGGTAGACTTTAAGTGGTAATCGATCAGACAATGCTTGAGGTGGATGATGGTGTGGATGTGATGATCGATCCAATGTTTCAGTGAAGACAATAACTTAGACACAGTTTAGTTACAATACTTTATTATAGTTAAGACAATTAAAATAGTAGTTAAAACAATGGTATAAAAATGGTATATATTTAAGAGCACATGTATGTGAATGCAATGGTGTATACAGTATAATGACTGATAGTCATGGTGGGTAAGATTGCACTGTAATGGTGGGTGAGATTGCACTGACTGTCTGGTGTGTCAGTACTGGTATTTATATGAGAGGAAGGTATAGGTATTTGGCGTACAGCTATTGGTTTGTTTGAATATAAGGACAGTTGTATAGATCGATCACTTGGCGCCAGTAATTGGTGTCATTGATCGATCAATCATAGGAAACGGTAGGTATTGAGCGATCAAAATAATTAATGAATTCAAAATAAGGGATTAAATGCACAAAAATAGGTATCAATAAAATAATACAAAAATTAAACATTAAAATTAAGGCTAAATAATATATGAAATATGAGTTTCTCAACAAAATATATATTTTAAAGTTTATTTAGGTTTATGTTTGCAATATTGCAATAATTTGTCCGCAATTAAAGCCGAAGACAATAATCGACTAAAATTATCACAAATTTTTTAATAATTGTTTTTTACTATATATTTACAAGTATTTTTTAATATAGTGTTGTTATAATTATTTCATGTTGTTTTGAAATTATAAAACAGTAATTCAATAAAACTGATTTAATTTTTAATTATTTATCAAATCTTACTTTTTTAGATGTCATCATAAATAATGAAACATTTTCATTATTATATTGTATAATCAAAATTAGAAAATATTATATCAATGACTTTGTAAAATTTTATAAAAACAGTGAAACTTTTTTAAAAAATGATAGATTTATGTAAAATTTAATTTTTATTTTTTGTTTTCTTTACATTAAATATAATAATAATTTAATATATAAATTAATAAATATAATAATAATAAAAAAATTTGCATACATATTACAATTGATAGATTACAAACAAGTTACAAGTTAAGATAATTATTAAAATCATATTATTTTAAAATTACAATCAATTGAATCATAAATTAGAGTATTTAAAAGTTACAAAAAATACTCATTTAAATAGTATTTATATTTTTAAAATCACAAAAATATCCATAAATTAATTATTTAACTTGTTTAAATTGTATTAAATATTATATAAAAAGAGCGGATAAAAACTTGATGAGACTTAATAAATAATAATAAAAGTGGAAGAGGGGTTAAGGAGGTCAGGTGGACAACCATTTGGGTATACCTGTAAATTACATGTAAAAACCCCATACACATGCTCACACACACACACACACACACACACATACTTTATATAATGGGGGGACTTGACTGTGTGGTGACAGTTGAATAATTGTATGGGACTGAACTAAWAAAAACCACTTTTGTGTCAACCCATTGACTTGTGTGTCATATCTTACTGAACAATATAGTTCTTCAATTTAGTCGGCAGACAAACGTCGTCAGATCTGAACCGTTGGAACCCTTGTTTGCCAATTGACGAACGGATCACTTGACGACAGCACTCYCGAAGCAATAGTGGACTTTTATCGAGACATGACTCGTATCGGATGCCGATCTCTCCATTACCCCATACGGTACTGATCACAGGATATAGTTTTTGGCCCTTCAGTCCATTGAAGGCTACKCCCAAATAGACATTGTCGACAATAAAGCCCAGTGTGCCGGCATCCATGTCCAGCACCACTTTGAACTCGTCGGGAATGTCGAATATCTCATGACTGGTCAACCATTGAGGATAAGTCTGCTCTTCGTTATTGTGATAGCATTTGTTGCGGACCAGATCCCAGCCCCACGACTCTCCATTTGAACCAACCAGAGAGCAATAGCCTATTGACAACAACAACAACAAAAATGTTAGATAAGATAATAACGATTTTTAAATATTGAAATATCATTTAACAGGAAATTTAAAAAAAACAAATTCCATAATTTATACTAAAAAATAGATAAAATATAAAAAATTTTAGGGGAATAAAAAAGAGGGAAGAAATTATTTACTTAAAAATAAGTTTAGTATTGAAATTAAATTAAAGAAAAACTTTTTTTAAAAAAAGTAATTATATTAAAAAAATTTTTTTTAGTATAAATGTTAATGATATTCACTTATTATTTATTGATAATAATAATAATAGTAACAAAAATAATAAAAATTCTTGAATTATTATTCACTGACAAACAAATAAAAAAACTTGTTTTGAAACATAAGTAGAGATGACTAATATAAAGGTTGAGCTAAAGGTTTGCCCTCAACCGAGACATACATATAGTATAGAGAAGCGCTTTTGTATAATTAAAGTGGTGGTCACTGACCTGTCATATGCATTGGTGATGCTTCAGTGGCTACTCCTACCATAGCGTGTGTGCCCCGACAATCGGTCGGCCATTTAATTGTCCACACATGCAGACCAGTACTGTAGGCAATGCGGCCACGAATACAATCGGTAGACTTGGCTACTGGTCGTCGTTTGCCAACCAGTCCTTCATCTCTGATGATAATATGTGGACTCTTGTGTTCGGATGACCAGGAATTAAGCACTTGTATCTCATGACCAACTGATTCCTGTTCAAGTAGTCGATCCAAATGTGGCGGTCGTTCGGCGTGTCCTTCGGCAATACTGTCCTTGTGTGTATTACCCGAACCGGTACCGGCACTCTGTTGGCCTCCCTTTCCTCCATTATTATTGTTATTATTGTTAGCTCTGATGGATCGCACCAATGAATGTAAATCCATATTAATGTTGACTATAGTAGCTCTAAATTGTGGCCAATTCTCTATTAAGCGAAACATATTGTGTGATTGTTTTGGAAAACTTTTTTTTAATATATTATTTATATTATTATTATATTTCAATTATCAAGTTTTTATCAGTCAAACACATAAACAAATACTATATATCCTAAAAAACACAGACACTTGAATAATATTTGTAGTAATAGTAATTTTTATTAACAGTAGTATTATTTAGTAATAATTATTATTTAATATATATATAAATAATATGTTATTAGTTGGCTTTATAATTATTATACTATTAATAAAAAATATAATCACAAATAAAAATTATGAGATATGAAAGTTACATATGAAAATAACAACCCTGGTGCTTTATCACTGGCAAATCAAAAAAAAGTTTTATATATTAAATACGATATTATGATATTTTTATAGCAAAATAAAAATTCGCATAATATACAACATATATATATAGTAAACTGTAGTAGTTTTATAACATTAGTTGCAATAATTTTTTGTTGTTTTTTATAAATATCTAATTTTGTTATTTCATTTAATATCACTATTAGATGTTTAATATTTATTTAATGAATTAATAAAAAATATTAAATTAATTTTTATCGTTATAGAACATAAGACATAAAATTTATATATATAACTAATATAACATTTATGAAAAAAATATTATGTAAAATCATTTTAGTTAATCAATTTTATATCAGAATCTGATATATTGCTAGCAAACTCCCTGATCACGATAGTAGTAGGTATTATGAACCACTGGTATTATATATACAGTACACACATATGTATTAAATTAACATAAAAATATTTTATAAACGTTAACATTAGAAATACACGACTACTACTACTTTTCAATAATAATAATAATAACAACTTTAACAGTGATCAGAGACAAGTCATAAGGTCTGACTCATTGAAAATCTCAACAAACAATTGTTGAAAAATATAATAAAATTTATATATAGATATATAAATAAATATATAATAGAAAAAATTATTTAATAAAAAGTTGTTTTCAATCACACATACAGTACACACTTAAGTACAAAAATTAATGGTTAATAATTTAAATTAATTTATTATTATTATTACTTATATTAATAACAATCACCAGGGCTTCCACACCAAACAATAACCTGACACTTATGATGTATAATATCTAATATATATATATATTGAATATTCTGGGTATGAATATACCGTAGAAAGACACAAAATAAGCATAAATAGTGAGTTAGGGGTTAACTAACATTTTTTTGACTCTGACTTTCCTATTATAATATGGTCTCTCCTCCCGGTGTTAACAACACTCAGACAACTTCACTAACAAACCATTTGAAACTCTGGGGAATGTAAGGAAAAAACTTGTTTTTCAATGTATTTTTTGTGAGTGTGTGTGTGTGAGTATGTATTTTAAAATACAGTATACAACAACAACTAGTATTTTATGGTAGTCAATGTGCGGTTCAAAAAACTTTAAAAAACAATTTGTTTTATTTTACTACTATTATWATTATTATAATTATTACTTTAAATATTTTATCTATAATAATATATTATTGCTCTTTTAACAATAAAAATCGCCATTAATTTTACTGTATTATATGCACCAAAATTGAATTGTTTTTAATAAAAATTTATTTATTTAATCTTATATAATCTGGCAATTGATTTTATTTATTTAAATATCTGTAAATTAATTATTGAAAAACTATAAATAATTATTGATATGTCAATATTAGACATGTTATGTATAATTTATTTGTTATATTTATGTTTGACAACAAAAATATTTTGCTCAATAAAAATTCTTTAATATCATTGACACTATATGTACAATTAGCCTTGATACATAATTTTTAATATACTGTACATATAAGCATACAAACATTTATATAGTGTCTACAAAAAAATAATAATAATATTTTAATAATATTTTTGCCAATAAGTAAAATCATTATTATAGATAATTTATTATTATTCTAAAAATATTCCTAAGTTTTTTAACATGGAAAATTGTTAAACATGTGATAGAAATTTAATAGTAATAAATACATAATCTACCAATAACTTTTTAATTATTTTATGATAATATAAATGATTATTCAAATAACATAAATATAATCAATAAGAATAAACAATATACAGTATGTATATAATAATAATAATAATAATATCACATTTGWTCGAGGTCAATTAGCTTTTAATTTTTTAGATAAATAAATAAACGGCAACATATTTATTCGTAATTTAAAATAAATTATGTGAGAATCAGTCAAAATTGAAAATTATTTAATAAATCAATACAATATAAGTTTATTTATTATATATTGTAGAAGAGTATTAATATTAAATCAAAATTAAATTTATAGTTAAACGGTAGATGTCATTGAAATAAGATAATTATGTTATTTTTAGTAATTGTAAATAATTTTTAAATTGATCATTTAAGGTATAACAAAAATAATAAATCAATTTAATAAATATAAATACATATCGATAGCTATTAGTGAGAGAACCTTGCTTTAAAAATAATGTTTGAGAAAATTTCACTATTATCATCAAATAAATTAAAAACCAGTTGAGAATGCTAAAAAGCATTTCCAACGAACTATCCAACTGTTGGGTATCAAATGATTTAGTATGACAAAATAAACTCAACTATAGTCATGTGTGGTATCAAATGATTCAGTATGACAAAATAAACTCAACTATAGTCATGTGTGGTATCAAATGATTCAGTATGACAAAATAAACTCATTTTTAATTCTCTACAAAATTCTTAACGTTAAAATTTTTAACTAATTTTTCTTTGACCATTTTTTCTATCTTCCCGAAGAGATATCAAAATTTTAAAGCATATTTTTTATGCTTGTTTTTGATGCTTTATTCAAATCTATACTCAAAAATTTTTACCTAAAATTTTTTTGACTGGCCGCCATTTTCTCTATGTTCCCGAAGAGATATCAAAATTTTAATGCTGATCCCCTATACCTATTTTTGATTAATCCAAATCTGAAGTCAAAATTTAAAAATTCAATAAAAAGCGGACGGACGGAAGGACGGAAGGACATATACATAGAAAAAAATAAACTTAACTCACCGATGAACATTTTAATTTGTAAAAAAATGTTTACATAAAAATTACCTATTTGCTAATATATTAACTAGATTATAGTTAAATTATTAACATGAATTAAAATCATTATCATATTTGAAAGACTATTAAAATAATTTTAAATAACATATTTTTAGTAGTTATTTATAGTAATAAAATTTTATTTACTAATTTATATTTCATATAAATAGAGATATTAYATTTCAAGCAGTTATTAAATAATTTAAATTAATTTACTTTTAATAAAAATCATATTTTAATAATAAGTTACATTAAAAACAATATGAGTTCTTGTAATAGTTGTTTATTTTTAAAACTAAAAACTACAATAAATATAAATTATTATTTAGATTTATTTATTATTATTCAATTGCTATTTTATGGTTTTTAATTTTTATTATGTATTATTAATTACATTAAAAAATTACCTAGTCAATGTTAGAGAGTTAAGAATATTAGATAATAAATGCTAATTATTTTATTAGAAAAAAAACATTACAAATATTTTTATTGTTAGTATTTTTTTCACATATCAAGGGCTTTAAAAATAATGTCAATACTAAACTTTTATATTATTATTACAATTGTATTTATATAACATAATTGATTTAGTTAATAGTCAATAGTTAATAATTATTGACATTTTTTTTACTTTGATTACTTCTACTACAGTAAAATATTGAATACTGTAMAGTAATTTTATAAAGTTTAATATAATCTTAAAAATAAATGCAGGTGTTATATCGTAAATTACTTTAAATAAATATTTAACTAAATAATTAAATTTTCTTAATTTTGTTTAATAAATTACACTATCATTTATAATATAATATATTGACAATAAAAGTATTGGTAATGCTATGACTATCAAATACTTAGTGACACTAAAATTAGTGTTATTAGTAATAACTTATTACATTTAAGTAYTCAAATACTAATGTAATAATTGCAAAACTAATACTCAATTTAAGATTAATTATTTAAATAAAAAAATTCATTATTAATTGAATGATTGGAAAAATATTTATTGAAAATTTCAAACATTTTGTAATAAACAGTATAGTATATAATTGATATATCTGAGATATTTGCTAATTCATGCATAAAATTTATACTGTGTAAAATCAATAGTGTAATACCTGCWTAATAGTTACCATTATAATATAGATTATGTAATTATTTAAAAATATTTCTAAAATAAAAATAATATTTATCTGTAAAAAAACTTAATTATATCTTCAAATAAGCAAAGTATTATTTATTAGGGGTTTATWTATTAATTAATTCAAATAATTTTATTAAAAAAGAAGACTATTAGGCAAAGTTTAATTATTTATTTGCACTCAATGTTTGATCAACTGGGTTGACCACAAACTACTTGTGTGCACACATAGTATTATTATTAAAGATAATTAACAACACTAATAGACAAACTAATGAGATTTGTTGTCAAAATATTTCCTGATTTTTTTTTTGTCAAATCTTATCAGACATTTCATTCATTAACCCTGAAATTTTTTTTGAACTAAATTATTTTTTTAAATATTTATAATTTTTAATAATTGTATCATAAGTTATGGTTAGTGCTGTTCAACAACTTTTATAGAGTAGAGTACAACATTCCCAGTGTGTTCATCACCGATGGCTATAGATTTATATATATATATAATTAAATCAAATACAGTATAATGGCTTATATTGTAAACTTTTAAAAGTTTAGAGACATACAGTAGTATATATATAATACAGTACACTGTAGTTATTTAATTTATATACTTTTACATTGATCTTTCTCACTGTTTAATCATTTAATTAATAATAACTTTTGAAATAATATAAAACTGGTTTTCAAGGCTTTGTCTTTTAGATGTATTTAACCCTTAAAAACAATTTAGTAAATGATTGACTATTTTATTTCACTTGACAACAACTATAGAGAGAAAGAGAGAGAGAGAGAGAGAGAAAGTTTCAAATATAATTTATTTAATAATCAATAATTTACATTCATTTTAAAGATATATATATATAWAAATTATATATCAAATAATTATTTCAACATATATTAATAAACGAAAAAAAAATTTATTGAATAGATCATATCATATGATTCATATGTTAAATAAACATTGAAGTAATAAAAAAATATTTATAATAATAAAAATAATATATATTAATAGTAAATGTGAGATATTTTTCTTTATTTGCTAAGCGCGCGAAAAAAATATATAAACTGTATAAAATATAATTGAAATTTATCACCAAGGTTATCTCTATCCCATCAAGACAATAATATATTAAATTATTAATGATTTATTTAAAAACCTTGCCTCTAAAGTTATATCATATAACTTATGTCTCCCCAAATTGCGGGTTTAAATTACTTATTTAAAAAACACATACAATAATTTTTACTGGCAGTTATGCTAATAGTTAGCCAGGTCATTAAAATTAAACAATAAATGATTTATTTATTGAAATTCAAGTCATGTATTGTATTATTATTGTAATATCAAAAATCTTAATTTCGATAATAATGTCTCAAATATAGTATGGCAGACAATAATAATATCATAAATATATTAAATTATGTAATTAAATGCATTACAAATATTTTCTATAGAAAAAACTTTTTTTTATAAAACATTTTTTTTGTATTATTAAAATAATTAATTACAATTACAATCAACTTTAAATATTTACATTAAAATGTGATACAACATTTGAAACGTTTTAAATATTTTAGCTAGATCAGAAAAAACACAAAATGATTTTTATAAAACAATTTTATTTTGTGAGAGAAACTTTAGATTGATTAAATTATATATATATATATATATATACTGTATATATATATTTAAAACTCATAATATACTTATAAAACTATACTATCTATTATATAGTATTTCCTTTATGTAATTAAATAATATTATTATTATTAAAATATTTATATACTGTAATTATAGTGTATTATTATTAATACTGCATTGTCTGCAACTATTGTTAGGTCTATAAACTCTCAAACATTAAAAGTATTATTATTATTATTATATGAAATAAAAAAAATCCAATAAAAATTTAATCACATTTTTTTCTTATAATAACTCGCAAAAATAAATAGTGATATTGACCTCTAATTGCAACCATAGGCTGGGCTGTTATGTATCAATAAATATACATTGCATGTGTGTATGTGTTTTCTGTATATTAATATATATTCAAAAATGATAGCACATGTATGTGCAGCGCACATATAAGTAGCCCGAGATATATACAGAGAGTTGTTGTGTTTGATGACTGAGTTCAAGGCTCTCACACCAGTGCTGGAGTAGTAGTAACTCTGGTAGTAGAAAGAGAGTAGAGTGCAAACACTTCTCACCCGACGGTACCCTAACATTATGGTGAGTGTCTGATAGGGATAGCACGGGTAGGCAAATGACTCTCTACGGCAACAAATAGAGCGCTGATAAGCATTAGACAGCCCTCTATATCTCATATCTATCGACACATATTTTTTCAAAAAAAAATATATATATATAATATCTTAATAATAATCTGAATATAAACAAACAATTATTGTCTGATAAAATACATAATTTGATAATTAATTTTAAAAATAATATATATATATAATTAATTAGCACTTGAAGTTTRATTAATTAAATTAAATAATTTCTTTTTTAGCTATTTTTGAGACAAAAAAACACATTAAGTAATATTATTTTATTTTTTTCATTTGCTTTACAAATATTTGTATTTAATTAAGACTTAAAAAGTTATTTAGTAGAGAAATATAAATAAATATTTTTAGATAATTTTTTTCACGACAACAACAACACAGACAAAAAAAACTAACTCATAAATCATTAAACAAACAACAAATTAAATATAAAATTTTGTAATAATAAATATTAAACAATAAATCAATATTGACTATTGAATTAATGAATTACACTTATATTATATAAGTTATATATCATCATAAAAAATACATACTGTCTGTATATTATTGTATAAATAGATAATTTTTTAAACAAAGAAATTATTTTTACAACAACAGAAAAATATTAATAATAATAACATTTATATTTCAAAATAAATTATTATATTTGAAAACTTACTTTAATTTAAAATTTCAATTTGAAGTCCCGGTGCGGATGATAGCGTGTATGTGTGTGTATGAAAATGTGGAAAATCACTGCAATAACTTAAGTCTATATATGGTATGGTATGGCTAATGTATGGGTCAATCATCCACAAAACACATATACAGACAGCTATTGATTTTTTCAGTGTATATATATTTTGGAGAATATGCTAAACACCAGAATATAATGAAACAGATATATATATATAWTAAATGAAAACAATAAAAATCAGGTTCACTGCCAGCACAGGGAGTTTCGTTCACTTCGTCTCTCTCTTTCAGTTAAAGTACAATCAACGCGATGTCAAAACGCAAAGAGTCAATGCCTACTAAATATTTCCCAAATGGTTTGTATTTACTGTATATATATTATACTGTATTTTAATAAGTTTGTTGTTGTTGTTATGAAAAACTCATAGAAATACTGTATAAATTGTATTATAAATATGACTATAACTTTGTGTTTAGTTTTATGGAAAACACTACTCTTACTGTACGTACACCCAAACACACACTCACTCATACAACAGTATATTATATTAATAGCACATGGAGTTTGAGAGGTATATTTTAATAGAGTATTATACTGTATAATATATTATATATATATATATATATATATAGAGAGAGAGAGAGAGCACATACTACTACTATACTATAAACCAGCTAATGATTCATAGATGGATTCATAGACCAACTTAAATGATATTTAATAAGTATTACTTAAATTAGTTTTTGATAAACCCAGTGCTGATGTCTATATTATATTAGTATATATTTTACAGGTATATATATATATAATACAGCATTATCAATATATTAACATTTATACAGTATTTAAATAAATATATATATTTATATAATTTAATATATAATGTTTAAAACAATTTTTTCCACAAAAAAAATTCTACTGTAAATGATAAATACAGTATTTATAACATTATACTAAATATTATATGAAATAAAAAACACATTAGGTTTCAAGTTATATCATAAATAGTATAAACAAACATGTTTTCTACAAAATATTATTAAAACAGATTTTTTTGTTTGGTCTGTTAATAGCAGAGTATAAAAAAAGTTATTTAATGTTTACTACATTTTAAATAAAAAATTTTCTATTTTAAAAATAAAATTGTTTACAAAAAAATTGATTATAAATTTTTTTTATATACTTACGGTTTATCAATAATGAGTAGTGGATATATTTAATTGATGGACAACCAACAACAAAAATTATATATATATTTAGTTTTAAATCAAATAATATTTGACAACTTTTTTTTCACACAAAAAAAACGTAATCCGATGTCAACCTTGAATTAAATATCAAATATATATTTATATATTGCAATTTCAAAAAAAATTAAATAAATCTAACGTAAAACATACAATATATGACTAAAAATAATATCGCAAATAAAACGGTTGACTTAATACTYATTAGAGCTTTATTTTGTTGTGTTATTAAAAATAATAAAATTATTGTATTAAATACTACACAACAACAGTATTAATGATATATCATATAAAATATGTAGACATTTACATATATTATATATAGTATATGATATATAGACACAACTATGAAATATCTAGTGGAAAAAATTATGTTTGTCACTCAATATTGCAAATGTTAAATAAAAAACTTTTTGTTTCAACAAATATATTTAATATAATAATCAGTATAACTGTGTTGTTGCTAATTAACCAAAATAACAGACAAACAATTATAAGAGAGAAAGAGAGGGCAAAAAAATAAATGAGATAAATTCAATACTAAATAAACAATTAATTTTTTGTTACTTTCTATCCGTTTTCAATGCTGATACCAATGATTTTTTAAAAATATATAACAAACAAACTGTTGCCATTATATTATAGATAAATTTATATATATATATATATATACATTATTAGTATTAGATATTTATGCTCTGTTCCTGTAATTAAATTACTGGCAATATATATTATACTATAGATATATATATATATATATATATATACATATACAGTATGTGTGTTATTGTGTATATACTGTATATATATAAAATATATTACTGTATATATATATATACAGGTATTTACTCTATAATATACAGTGTATATGTTTGTATGCTTAATAATAATAATAATAAAATGATTACTCCCAATTTCAATGTTTTTTATGTGCTGTTATCTGATTTAGATTTTTATTTATTCCATTTAATTAATTTTAAATTGTTTTGTATTTATATATACTTTAAAACACTTTTTAAAAAATCGATTTTGTTTATACTTTTTTTTTTGAAAACCCATATTTTATTATTTAAACTATTTTGTTGTAAATAAAAATTAATTTTCATGAGATTAATGCCATTATAGTATCTGTTTTTTTATCAGTTATAAAGTCGTTGATATTTGTTATTTTTAATAATATTATTTTTTATAAAACATATTTCCCTTCACCCCCTTATCATTTGATTAAACAATGTATTATATAAACACATTGATAATATTAAAGTTTATTTATTTAATAAATTTCATTTGCTTGTGTCTATRTAAAATATCAAATGATAAATAATTGTTTATATTAATATATTGTATTACAGTAACAATAACAAAGTAATAATAAATTTATATGATATTATTTATATACGCTAWTATATCATATGATATTATTTTAGAATATTGTATTATATTGTAATATTTATTAACTTAAAATAATTTGTATAATAAAAATAATGTATTATATAATTAACATTCAATATTATTATTATCTAAAAATTAATTCATATACTAATTGTAAATTCATAAAAGTTTGCTCATACTATTAAGTATTAATTATAAATTCAATATTTATTATAYAATAGRATATTAAAATTTTTGATTGACAATATATGCAAATTGTGATAATATCTTTAAAAAAAATATTTTCATTAATGATTTATGTAAGATTATTAAAAATTGTTTTTAATAAATAATCTACAATCTATGGAAACATAGGAAAAAATAGTAAATCGTAATTTAGCATAAATTTTATCACAATTTAATCAAACCTTGAAATATAATTTAACCTGGGCGCCAAAATATTTAATAAAAATGTGTATATATTTATGTGTGTTTGTGTGGCAACATTAGCATATAAAAATAAATAGAAAAATCTATATATACTGTATATACAGTAAAACTAAAAAATGACTTATTAGGGGATTTCCTCTAAAAAAAATTATACTGGCAATTTATTTATATTATTGCACCTAAATTTTATGATATTATCTATCTTATATGACATTATATAATATATATATATATTTAAAGGGATAGTAGGGCAATGGTCATATTAKAAACTAATTTTATCAACGAAAATATTTTTGATTGAGTTCAATAAAATAATTTAACTGGATAATTTTTTTATGTTTGATGGTTTCTATTTTTAGATCCTATTTATAAATTCAATAATAGTTACTATTAATACATTTAGCTATCGGACAAAATAAAATCAACAATTTTAATATATTTAATTAAATATAATTATGTTTATATATTCAAACAACCAAGGTTATGCTCTATAGAACTAATTTTTACCTCAATATTAGCATTATTATGATAATTATTCAACGTTTCTATTACCAGTATTAAGCATTTATTTTTTTAATTGTTTTTATTTAACATTATTATATCACTATTGCTTTAGCAATGATTTTTCKATTAATAAAAATATTTTTTTATTTATTTAAAATTTATTATAAGTATAATTAATTTTTTGAAATTATCAAATTAATGTAATTAAACTTATGTTGATATTGCCATATAAACAATTAAATTAACATGATTGTAAATTGAATTTTTAAAAATAATACAAATAACCAATTAGTAATAAATACATCTACTAACAAAATATCACTTAATATTTATTATGTTATCTAAAAGAGAAAAAAAACTATTAYTTAATACTTGATTATGTTATCTAAATAAAAACAAAATAAATATAACTTTTTAAAATTAATTGATAGAATTCGTGGTATTTTATTAGAAATATAAATATTTTTTTAATATGAGTCATATGTTGTCTCTGATCATAAAGTTTTTAAAAAATAGACAGTCATATGAATATAAAATATATGAATGATTTTATCAAATATTTATGTAAATATTATGCTAATTATCTAACATAATAATGTTTTTTGAATTAAAATATAAGTTTAATTAAAATTTATGAAATGCTAAAAATTTAATTATTATACAAATTAGTAAATATGTTAGTTTTTTAATAAAWTTTTTTTGTTTTAAATATTATTTTTTAACTGGCTAAAATTAAATTGTTTTTATGTAAATAGATTGCTAATGCTAAATGATTCACAATAAATTTTAGTAATATTTGTATTAATAATTTAAAGTACAAAAAATAATATACAAAGTCATTTTCTAATAAAAGTAGTATAATTTTTATAAATTTAAAATAATTTATAATATAAAAACGCAATAATATATAAAATTTTATAAATACCAAATATATTTAAATATTAATTCATTTATTTTATAATAAAGATATTAATTGTTTTCAATAAATAGAAAATTACTAATAATTTCTAAATTAATTGTTATAAAAATTATAATTTAATCATAATTTGTTTATTATACTAAATAAATACTAAATACTAAAATAAATTAAAATTTAAGAGTAATAATAAAAGTTTTAAATAATTAACATACTTATTTTTATCTTATTCATCTATTTGTTGCAAGGTTATTTTTAAACTATAAACTATAATAAATATGATTAAATATCACTACAATAATAAAATGCTACCAAATTTTAAAACAAAATATTAATTGATTTTATTTATTATTCTATTAATATGTGATAAATTAATTACTTATATAAAATTAATAATATGTAAATTATATGCATTATTAATTATAAAGTTATAAATGAATCATACCAAGCTTAACTAACCTTGATAATTTTTGTTTAAATTAATTTAAAATTTTTGCAAACTTGAAACATTAACAAATGTTTTTATTATACCACATGTTAAATAACTTGAATTTATGCAAAATATTGCAAATTAATTATACAGTAATATTAACAGCTGACTGAAAAATTTCATAATAAAACAAAAAACTATTTTAATGTTTACTTTAGTAACTAATAATGTATTTCATACGACATTAACTATATTTATACTAATCTGTTAAAACTTTTAAAGTTTTATATAATTAATTTTATTGTATATTAAAAATATTTTGAATAATTATTTTATTTATTTATAATGATATATTTGATTTTTCAACTTATATTATTTATTGAAATTATTAATGATAATAATATGGTTGATAACAATTAGTTATATGTAACAATTTTTATTTAAAAAAATTATTTTCATTATATATATTATGATATTGTTTATATGATAATAGATGGCGATATAATTGTTAATATTATATTTTAGTCAATAAAACAAAATTTTATTTTTTAAAGTTATAACTCATATAACATTAAAAAAATACAATTCATTTTAATATTATTTTAAGTTAATTTATAAATAATTAATATTTTATTTTATTTAAACTTTGTACCAATTAAATGATCCAATATTCTATATTTAAAATAAATTAGTAATATATAAACAAACACACAAGGTCAATTAACAAAAATAATAATAACTATCAGTATTATACAATTGTTATTTTGTCAAAACATGTATTGTATTAATATTATCATAGTTTTTAAAAATTAAATATTAAAAAAAATGTTTAACTATTACAATGAAAACATGTACACTGAATATTATTTACTAGTAAATATCGTGATATGTAGAAATTAAATTCTAAAATAATTTAATATATGTTAAATTACTTAAATTAATTTATTTTTGTAATAATATTTTTTATATAATAAATATTTTCAAATCAAATAATTGTAAATATGCTTTTTATAGAAATATTTACATAAACAAACTTGATAAAATATAATTTGTTTTTCAATATAATTTAAAAATATATTTAAATTCTTTAATGTATTATAATTTTAAATATACTATAAAATAAGTATTTATTGTATTTTTCCAATACTATTAATACTACATGTATAAAAATTAATATCAATAAATTTATACATTATTATAAGGTAATATAATTTGTATTTCAAATTTATCAATTTATTAAATACAATTTATATAATCTTTACTAAAATAGCTGTAATCTGTAGCCATTATAACCATGAACCTAATTAGCAATTTGTTATAACACAGAGA